ATCCGTGTGATGACACGATACAGATAAATAATGGTTTTTTTGTTTTTAAAAAAAAGGTGCCGGTACTCCAAGAGAAAAGTTGTTGAGAGAAAAAAAAAGCCAGGGTGGGGCCGCCATTGCCCTTTTAAGACACGCGGCCCAGCAGAGATTTGCAAACAGAGTTGCCGGTATGCTCCGTTCAGAGGTACCGGGCAGTACCATCACAAAAAAAGCACTGCCTCTTTGGCAGATGACATCCATCCCACCCTCCACCTCTAGGGATTCAGTTTACTGGGCTATTTTTCACTTTAGGGTAGGGCCAGAAGTACCATCCCCTCGGCCGAGTCAAATGGCCTGCCTCAAAGAGGGGAGTCTAGGCCACCTCATCATTTTGTCCTAGAGGGAGGAAGAGTTATAGGAAAAATTACCTGATTGGATTTAGAAAAAATTGTATCTTCATCTCGGAGGAAATGTTTCAGGAGAAGGTTAGTTCTGATCCATAAACAGGCCTCATGGATGTGCTGCATTTCACAACCAAACCCATGGTGCAAACAGAGTTCCATTTCAATAACCTGCGCACCTGGCTACTAGCTTGATAAGAAGACGACTTTTGATATAATTGGTAGATTTCCGGTAACAGACTTTAAGCCAGAATATCTTTTAACAAATGAGTAAAGCTGCCTGCTTTCTTATGTTTTCTACTGACCGTACATGGGGATGTTCTCCCAAGGGGGGGGGTCATTGGGAAAACTCTGACTCATTGTTCCTTTCTGTTGCCTTACATGCAAGTCATTAGGAAAACTCTTTGGCTTGCCCTGCTTTTGCATCCCAAGGGGAGTTGGTGGAGCTGGGATACCTTTTTGGCAGGACATTTTACTGTGATCATAGAATACTAGGACTGGAAGGGACCTCGAGAGGTCATCGAGTCCAGTCCCCTGCCCTCATGGCAGGACCAAATACTGTCTAGACCATCCCCGACAGACATTTATCTAACCTGCTCTTAAATATCTCCAGAAATAGAGATTCCACAACCTCCCTGGGCAATTTATTCCAGTGTTTGACCACCCTGACAGTTAGGAACTTTTTCCTAATGTCCACCCTAAACCTCCCTTGCTGCAGTTTAAGCCCATTGCTTCTTGTTCTATCCTCAGAGGCCAAGATGAACAAGTTTTCTCCCTCCTCCTTATGACACCCTTTTAGATATCTGGAAACTGCTATCATGTTCCCCCTCAATCTTCTCTTTTCTAAACTAAGCAAACCCAATTGATGGCATAGAAGTGCCTCAAAGAACAGATTAGGTTTTGTTTTTCCACAACAACTGTACTTTTGTGTGGGGGGGGGGGACCATTTACAATGCCTGGGAAATGACAAGTCCTTCAGATGTGTTGCTTTGACTATAATCTCATAAAACTGTAAAAAAACCTGGGAAAATAGTTTATTCATTGCCATCAGGCTTCCAACTGGCACAGTCACATCTGTCAGCATTTGGAAACAAGCTTACCTTGCCTGTATCGCCGTGATCAAATGCCACTCAGCTCAATTAAAACCGGATGCATTAAAAACCAATACTATATTATTCAAGCATACAGCTATGTGCCAAAAGATATTGTCAGGACAAATAGCTCAGTAAGTGTTGCTAAAAGCTAGAGACAAGATAGCTGAGGTCATTTCTTTTAGTAGAGCAACTTCTGTTGGTGGAAGGTACCAGCGTTCGAGACACTCTCCCATCGCTATTGGGGCGTTGGAGGTGTTGGAGGAGATACGCCACTTGTGGGAATAAGCATAGGTAGGATCCAGGGATATTTAAAGGTGTTTGTTGTGAAGGGCATTGATCTTTGTCTCAGAGCCAGGCCCACTGCCGGGGGAACAAAGGGGGCAGTTAAGTCTCGGCTTGACAAAGCCCTGGCTGGGTTGATTTAGTTGGGATTGGTCCTGCCTTGGACTGGGGGGCTGGACTCGATGACTCCTGAGGTCTCTTCCAGCCCTGGGAGTCTATGATTCTAATTCAAAGGGGCCCAGGGCTCCATCTGCCACAGCAGCAGTGGAAGTGGTCAGTGCTCTGGCCCCTTTAAATCGCTGCTGGAGCGCTATGACCAGGCAGCACTAATGGATGGGAGTCCTGCTGTGCTCCGGACGGCACTGGGGGCAGTGTGACGCTAGTGCTCAGGGCAGGGGCAGTGGGCAGAGCCCTGTGCACTCCTCCTTCCCCGACCTAGGAGCCAGGCTTGCTGCCGACCACTTCCGGGGCGCAGCACTGTCTGTCCTGCCAGGCGAGGCAGGGAGCTGCCTTAGCACTCCCACCGGTCACCTGATCCCCCTGCAGCAACGAGACCCAGCGTCCGACATTCCACCCCCCCAATCCTGGGGCGTGACTCGTTGTTTGAAAGCCCCTTGTGTAGCAGATCTCTGCCTCCTGCCTTACCCCAAACACTTCCTCCCTACCTTGGCATGACCCCCACGCCAGGTGTTAAGGGCCCCGAGCTGACACACTGGCCCCAGGAGAGAGCCCCCCTTTGACAAGGAAATTCTCTGCGGGCCAGCTGAGGTCTGTTTGCATTTTGGGCCAGAGCATTTGCTCCATCAAACTTTGTGGACGTCAGCAAAAGTGTTAATAGCAGAAAAACACCTATTGGACGTCTAAAAAAAGTTGTACGCTAGAGTGTGGGGGGGAAAGAGCACAGACAGAAAGGGAAAAGCCTACCGAAAACATCAGTCCAGACAGTCTTTTGTAACGTGGCTTGGGGATCCACTCACATGAGCCTCCTTTCTCTATGCCAGTGGCTTCCAATCTGTAGTCCGCGGATGCCTGGTGGTCCCCGGCAGTACTGTAGGGGGCTCTGCAGAAAGTTTAAAATAGAAATTAAAATAAATGTATGGAGCTTCTCTCAGCCTTCAACCCGTGATGTTTCCTGAGCGGGCTGTGGGACGTGGCTTGGGACGCAACGCGGGCTGAGGGATGAGCAGGTTGTAGGCCCAGCTATATTGTTTTGGTGGGGTGGGGAGAGGTCCATAAAATTGTAATAGATTGAAAAGATTGGGAACTATGGCTTCTATGCCTAAAACACAGCCTGGAGCGCCCATCGCTTAGGCCAGGCATGTCCAAAGTCCGGCCCGCAGGCCAACTGCGGCCCGTGTTCCGGTTTAATACGGCCCCACAGGTAATTTGGCAATATCTATCTTTTATGGCCCCCAACGAATCCATATGTATTGAGATGAATACATTGTAAAATCTCAGTTAATGTCAGTTGGTCTAAATCAGTTATAAATATATTTGGACACAACATGTATACTTGGTGTTATGTTCCTGTTCATATTTTTTGAACTTAAAAGTTGACAGACAACCTTTATTACCAATAATATGTAATGTACTTTACAATGTTCCTGACATATATTTCAGCTTCCTGGATTTTTTTTTCATCTGGTCTTCAGATATGAAAGGCAGAGTGATTTAACACTTGTTTAGATTTGTCATCCATGTGACAAAATGAAAAGTATGCCGTTTGCAATAAACTTTGCATAAAATAGTTAATTTGCATTTAATTTTAATGGTTCAAAGAATGTCAGGCAAAATGGTCGGCCCTCACGCATGTTCACTTCATAAAATCTGGCCCTCTTTGAAAAAAGTTTGGACACCCCTGGTTTATAGGGTTGCCAGGTGCCCGGCATTTTCGCCTCCTGTCTGGGGAGAAATTCAGAGAATACCGGGCAGCTCAGGTGTCTGGTAGTTTCTGAATTTTTTTTACCGGACAGGAGGCGAAAATACCGGACTGTCCGGGTGAATACCGGACACCTGGCAACCCTATCCACCACTGGGCAGAACTTTGAGACCGGGGCCCCTAAACGCCCAGATAATGGGACGTGGGGGACATGTGATTAGCACTAAGCCTGCCCAATGTTCTAACCATGAACCTCTCTGGAGTAACTGGGCCTGCATGAAGCAGGGAGAGACGTGGTAGCTCCAGGGGTGCCGGGGGGCCCCGCTCTTCATTACTACACCTCTCAGTGTAGTGGTGCCAGTGCATATGTTGGAGGATGATCCCCCCACAAATAGCTACTCACCCCATGGGAGCAAAGTACAACTGATACTAACGGCTCCTCCCTGGTCTCCAGGAGCCTGATCCCAAAATCAGTTGATGCCAATGGAAAAACTCCCATTGACTTCATTGGGCTTTAGGTCAGGGGGTGTCAGCATTATGGGGAAGAAGTGGGGATAATCAAGTAAGAAAGGGGAGACCCAAATGACCTGTATCTCCTTTGCCCCACCGCCAACCTCATGCATCCTTGGGATCAGGGAAGCACCCCGCCCCCACTTTGCAAAAAGATTAGGATGAAACTGGTTGCAAGGTAGCAGGGATAGACTGTGGAGAACTGTACTGCCTGATTGGAAAGACTTGGCTGCTTATGCCCGTCCCAGATCCATCCCCTTCTGTATGAACCTGTGGTGGCCTCTGAAACACACCATAGAGCAGACTTGTAAGCGCTGCATGAGCCATCAGCGCAGGAAGCCCGTGAGTCAGCCGGTTGCAGCATATTTCACTTATTGCTTTAAGGCTGATGTCTCTTAACTCCGTCCTTCTGGTTTCTCTCTCCCTCAGGGATCAATCACTCGAAAAGGCTACCATTGCCCTGGGGGGAAGAGAGTGGAATCTGGAAATTCACTTCCAGGGCTCTTGCATTCCTGACCTGACCCCAGGGGGCCAAGAATCAAATTGCCAGCGAATCTACAAAGTAGATGCCCAGCTTGTTGAATGGGCCGTGCTGAGAACAGGAAACAGTTTGAAACTCACAGGACTTCTTGAAGGGATTTTGGGCTAGGAAAGCAGGATTGAGACTAAGCTAATTTTTTTCAGTCAAATGACTCTCTCACACACACACCCTGACGCAGCAGCTACCATGACATGCTGGCAGGGATTTCATTATTTTTCTTTGCGCTGCAGATTATGTTTAGGCTTCGCGGGAACAGACATGACCCACCTTGTGAAAAACACACCTCTCTCTCTCTCTCTCTCTCTCTGTTTCAGTCCCCGCAATGCCATCCCTCTTTATTAAAGTGCTAAACAGCACCACGATCCAGGCGGTGTGGGAGCCCTCTGTCAAACTGGGCCAGCATGAAGGATTCAAACTCTACTACCGTAAAGTTCACCTGTCCCACTTCACTGGCCCTATGCTCCTGCCCAGCAACATTACATCGTATAACATAACTCACCTGGGTAAGTGCCGAGGAGGGTGTTTAGCCACATTACGTGCCTTCGCTCAGCAAGAAAATTCCCCTTTCTGTTGTCATTATAACAGTATGTCTAGTGGAACATACAACAGCTAGGAAATACATATCATGAGTGCCTAGCATGGTTTAGTTTCCATTCCTCCCTCCGATGCTCAGCCTGCCCTCAGTGATTTAAGTGAGAGGTGGTTCGGGTTTTTCTACTCACAGTGGCTTTCGCAATGCATGTCAGATGTTTCTGTTTTCGTGACAAGGGCAGGGTCAACGAGACTAGTCTGCTGTCGCTCTTTAAATGCCCTCCTCGTCTCTTTTCTAAAATAGACCCATCCGTGGTGTATGAAGTAAAACTCCTGGCATATAACCAGCACGGGGATGGGAATTCTACTGTCCGGTTCGTATCTCTTCGAGAAACTGTTGAACGAACAGGTAAGAAGAGGCCAAACCAGTCCAACTTCCATATTCTACGTGAAATGTCACAGCATAGCAGTGATATAGCAGGGAGGGTCTTCCTAACACACGGTTCATTTAATAGTGCATCCAATGCTGCATGCGGCTACTTCTGAACCCTCACCTTTAAGAAGTGCTTTATTTTCCGTGCAGCAAATAAATTGGAAGATAGGTTGCATGGAGAAGCAGTGCCCTCTGGTGGAGAACATAGTTATTTCCGGTTGCTTAGTCTGTGCATATTCATCTCTTTCTTTCTTTCTTTCTTTCTTTCTTTCTTTCTTTCTTTCTTTCTTTCTTTCTTTCTTTCTTTCTTTCTTTCTTTCTTTCTTTCTTTCTTTCTTTCTTTCTTTCTTTCTTTCTTTCTTTCTTTCTTTCTTTCTTTCTTTCTTTCTTTCTTTCTTTCTTTCTTTCTTTCTTTCTTTCTTTCTTTCTTTCTTTCTTTCTTTCTTTCTTTCTTTCTTTCTTTCTTTCTTTCTTTCTTTCTTTCTTTCTTTCTTTCTTTCTTTCTTTCTTTCTTTCTTTCTTTCTTTCTTTCTTTCTTTCTTTCTTTCTTTCTTTCTTTCTTTCTTTCTTTCTTTCTTTCTTTCTTTCTTTCTGCAGGCTTCTTTCGGAAGAAGTTTTTCCGGAAGAGATCTTCCGAAAAACTTCTTCAGAAAGAGAGTGTCCACACTGCCAAAGTGCATCGAAAAAGTGATCTGCTTTTTCAAAAGAGAGCGTCCACACTGAATGGACGCTGTCTCGCATTTAAGCTGTGATCACCAGGGCTCAACAAAGTATTGAATCTAGTCGCCCAGGGCGAGTAGATTTCAGCCGGGTGCCCCGTTCATTTGCGGCACGCGCATGCGCAATGCGGGTCTTGCACATGCGCAGTGCAGGGCTGGCGACCGGTTTTTGCTGCTGTTCGTCAAGCCCTGGTGATCGCTATGGACGGAATGGCCACCAGGGCACCTGTGCTTTTTCCTCTTTCCTTCTTCCGAAAGAACTCCCTCTTCCCCGCCCACACATGCCTTTTTCTGAAAGAGCTCTTTCAGAAAAGAGCTTCTTCCTCGTAGAAAGAGGTTAACCAATGTTAGAGCCCTATGCAGCACTATTACAATGGTGCCCCTATGCCTAACGACAGCCGGGGGAGGAAGGGGGGCGTGATGATTTTTTTGTACATATGTGATTTTATAATCTTCAGTAGCACGCTAATGAAATATTTTTAAAGCAGATTATAAACTAAGGTCCAGTAGCCTAACACAGTAAATTCAGAAACGGACCATGTATACCTAGAGTTCGCAAATGCCTGTTAAATGGCTTTGTTACCACTTGGATGGCTCCTTCACAGGCTCCGTGTTCTGCTAATAGCTCTGTCAGGCTTTGTCACTTGTAAGTTAACTAGATCCGCTCTGGAGAAAGCAGAGCCACAGAACAGAGATAGGAAGAGGCGGGTGGGTGGTCATTAAGACCCAGCGGTGCCCCAAAGTTTCAGGTGCCCTACACAGTTGCATATTCTGTGTATGGGTGAGGATGGCCCTGTGAGATTGTATTAATGATGGTAGTTTAAGGAGCTCATTTTTGTCCTCCTTTTCCAAATCTCCAAACCCGTGTTGCAGTGTGGGTGATAATAGCAGATAAAGAATGATTGTTTCTGGGGTGATTCTTAGCCATCTGGGACACTTTCATACAAGACAATCCCTCTCTGTCAACAAACAAAGCCAACACAAAGGAAATTCCCGTCCACAAGAGCCTGTCTGAAACTGACAAAGGAACGAAAGGCTCCGATGTGTAAAGGTATTTAATCTTTGCTCTGCTTAGCACTGCAAGACCTCGGTGACTTAGATGCCCTGTCCCATTTTCAGAAGTGAATTAGGAGCCCACATCTCTTTGGAAATCGAAATCACTGTCTGATTGGAGAAATGTCTAATTCCCTTTCCAAATCTGGGCCTGAACTCAAGCGCAGATTTGACCCATCCTTCCTATTGCACAGACATGATGTGACTAGTGTTTGGATTATGCTCAGCGGCATTATCAATTGCATATTGCAAGCGGCCTTGGCTTTGGTCCGAGACAAGCTCCTGGTCTCAGGGCCATCCTTCCCGATAAAGCAAAACATGCAGCTGCGTGGGGCACCAGAAAATTGGGGGCACCAAATTGCTCCAAATTTCATAGTGCCCCTGCAGCTGAATGCTGCATATGGGCTCTGGCAGCCCCCAGCCCCATCCTCTGGCTGGCCTCCTTCCCATGGGCTCTGCACGAGCTCTGGTGTCCAGCCCCCAGCTGCTCCCTCCCCTGCAGACTGGGCCCAACCCCCACTCACCAGGCAGCGGTGAGAAGTCTGAGCCCAGGCCAGAGGACTCAGGAGAAACAGAGGGCAGCTGCACAGCCAGCGACTGAAAGAAGCGGCGGTTTCCCCTCAGAGTGCTCTACGTGGCCGCCCTTGGCCCTTTGAGTCCTCTGGTCGATGCTCATGCTACTCACTGCCACTCGCAGCTTCCACCTGCTTCCACGGCAGATGAGCCTCTCTGCCTGCTCTGTCCTGCTCTAGGGTTCATAGAATCATAGAAGACTAGAACTGGAAGGGACCTTGAGAGGTCATCGAGTCCCGTCCCTTGCCCTCGTGGCAGGACCAAACATCATCCGGACTATCCCTGACAAGCGTCTGTCTAACCTGCTCTTGAATATCTCTAGTGACGGAGATTCCACCACTCCCTTAGGCAATTTATTCCAGTGCTTAACCACCATGACAGGAAGTTTTTCCGAATGTCCAACCTAAACCTCCCTTGCTGAAATTTAAGCCCCTTTCTTCTTGTCCTATTATCAGAGGCCAAGGAGAACAATTTTTCTCCCTCCTCCTTGTAACACCCTTTTAGATACTTGAAAGCTGCTATCTTGTCCCCTCTCAGTCTTCTCTTTTCTAAACTAAACAAACCCAGTTCCTTCAGCCTTACCTCAATGCTCATGTTTTAATTATTTTTGTTGCTTTTCTCTCGACCTTCTCCAATTTCTCCACATCTTTTGTGAAATGTGGTGCACAGAACTCAACATAATACTCCAAATGAGGCCTAATCAGCACAGAGTAGAGTGGAAGAATGTGCCTTCTCGTGTCTTGCTCATAACACTCCTGTGAATACATCCCAGAATCATGTTTGCTTTTTTTGCAACAGTGTCACTCTGTTGATTTGTGTTTAACTTGTCATCCACTATGGCCCCTAAATCCCTGTCAGCAATGCTCCTTCCTAGACAGTCACTTCCCGTTCTGTGTGTGTGAAACAGATCATTCCCTCCTAAGTGGAGGACTTCGCATTTGTCCTTATTAAACTTCATCCTGTTTATCTCAGACCATTTTTCTAGTTTGTCCAGATCATTTTGAATTTTGACCCTATTCTCCAAAGCACTTGCAACCCCTCCCAGCTTGGTATCAAACTTAATAATCATACTTTCTATGCCGTCATCTAAATAGTTGCTGAAGATATTGAACAGAATTAGTCCCAAAACAGATCCGAGGAACCCCACTTGTTATGCTCTTCCAGCTTGACTGTAAACCATTTTTAACTACTCTCTGAGAACGGTTATCCAGCCAGTTATGCACCCACCTTATAGAAGCCCTATCTAAGTTGTATTTCTCTAGTTTATTGACAAGAAGGTCATGTGAGACCATGTCAAATTCCTTACTAAAGTTTAGGTATACCACGTCCACCACTTATCACCTATCCGTGATATCCAATCAACGAAAGCTATCAGATTTGTTTGACATGATTTGTTATTTACAAATCCATGCTGGCTGTTACCTATCACCTTATTATCTTCCAGATGTTTGCAGATGAATTCCTTAAATACTTGCTCCATTATCTTCCTTGGCATGGAAGTTAAGCTTATTGGTCTGTAGTTTCCTCGGTTGTTCTTATTTCCCTTTTTATAGATGGGCATTATAAATGCCCTTTTCCAGTCTTCTGGAAACTCTCCTGACTTCCATGGTTTTTCAAAGACGATAGCTAAAGGCTCAGTTAGTTACCTCCTCTATCAACTTCTTGAGTATTTTAGGATGCATTTCATCTGGCCCTGGTGACTTGAAGACATCTACATTTTCTAAGTAATTTTTAATGTGTTTTTTTTTTTTTAAATTTCTGAACCTACCCCATTTCCACTAGCATTCATTATGTTAGGCACCCCGTCACCATCAGACTTCTCGTGAAAATTGAATCGAAGTCATTAAGTACCTCTGCTATTTCCAAGTTTCCTGTTGTTGTTTTTCCCTCTTCACTTAGCAATGGGCCTACCCTGTCCTTGGTCTTCCTCTTGCTTCTAATATATTTGTAGAACGATGTCTTGTTACCCTTTGGCTGTGTCTACACTGGCCCCTTCTTCGGAAGAGGCATGCTAATTTCTAACTTTGGAATAGGGAAATCCGCGGGGGATTTAAATATCTCCCGCGGGATTTAAATAAACATGGCCGCCGCTTTTTTTCCGGCTTGGGGAAAAGCCGGAAAAGAGCGTCCAGACTGGCGCGATCCTCCGGAATAAAGCCCTTTTCTGGAGGATCTCTTATTCCTACTTGCAATTCCTACTTCCTCTTAGTTTTGCTTCCCATAGGACCTTACCTACCATCTGAGATTACTAAAATCTGCCTTCCTGAAATCCATTGTCTCTATTTTGCTGTTCTCCCTTCAACCATTCCTTAGAATCATGAACTCTATGATTTCATGGTCACTTTCACCCAAGCTGCCTTCCACTTTCAGATTCACAACCAGTTCCTCCCTATTTGTTAAAATGAAATCTAGAACTCTCCCAACAAGACGGCAGTGTTGTCTGGTCCAGCTGGTCCGGGAAAGTTGGCAACCCAACTTCTGCCGCCGCATCTCCCCCCGCTGTGTCTTTTATTCAGAGGCACTTACAATGTGTGTCTTGCATTGACTTCAGTTGGAACGGTGGGCTTCAAATATTTTAACTGAGTTCTTTGGAGGGCATAGATGTTTGGTAGGAAGAGAGAAAAAAAATGGATGCATCTGTGCTACAGTTACCTGGAGACAAGAGAATTCTCCCCTTGGGGGAATCTTTAATTGCTCACTCCTTTTGTGTTCTTGTATGTGTTGAAAAATACCCTGGTGCTTTGGGAGTCATTTTAACCACTCTTCCATTGGGAATCTCTTCAAAATACAGATTGTTATTCCTCCTGTACCTCTAATGTAGTAAATATTAAGCTCTGTTGGAAAAACAGAGAGATCCATACGCTTCATACTCACATTTAGCTTTCATCATTTATGGGGATGCTACTAAATATAATATTATAAACTGCTCTGGCTTACTCCATTTTTCCTCCCGTGTGATTCACATCATACCCCTGACACCGGGAAAATGCAAAGTTTACAGATCTCCAGGCAGGAAGGCAAAATAATTGTATGTTATCCTTTCACTTTTCATCTGAATGCAGCATTAGAGATCAGAGATGCAGGCTCTACTTTTAAAGGAAATTGCTTGTCTCAGGAGAATACGCTGAAAGCTTTTGTTACCATGTAGCAGAACTGCCAGATTGCAGGAAAATCTTAGGAATTAGTTCAGATGAAAGTCCCTGCTGGCCCACAGAGAGGTGGGGGGGACACGCTGGCCTGTAAATAGCTCGCTGTGACATAGCGGGTGTATCTGGGGAGAGTGCTTTTCTGGCATGGAAAGAGGCGTAGCGGAGCTGTTGTTTTTTCCATGGCTTGCTTTAGTCTGTCCTTTAATAGGCTCACTCAGTGACCTCGGATGTTGTTACAATGGCAGTTTTAGGTGCACGTTACGGCAAGCGGAGCACGTGCGTTTATGAACAACGAGGAGTCCTGTGGCACCTTAGAGACTAAATTAAATACATAGTCTCATGCACTCTCATGGGCAAAACCCACTTCCTCGAATGAGTTCATCTGAGGGACAGGTTTTGCCCATGAAAGCGCATGAGACTCTGTATTTTTGTTAGTCTCTCAGGCTATGTGCACGCTACCAGGTTATTGCGAAGTAAGTAGTTTCAAAGTAACAACTCCCAAAACAACTATTTCGAAACAAGCGTGTCCCTCTTCACAAGCAGGAGTTCTTATTTCCAAAGGACAAGCCCATAAGTGTGGACACTCGCCTTGCTTCTTCGAAACAAGGGGAGTTATTTCGAAATAACTCACCAGTGTAGACATGCCTTAAGGTCCCACAGGACTCCTCATTGTTTTTAAAGTTACAGACTAACCCCTCCTGAGACTTTTTCACATGCATTTGTAGGGGGGTTTGGGCATCGCCTGGCAGTCTAAATAAAACACGTATTAAGCTTGGCAGCCTGATACCATTTCACTCCATTAAACACCAGCGCCCAAGGCTGTTGCCAATGCGAGCCCTGGGAGCCCCTCGGCTGTCTGTTGATGATCTTGGGGCATGACAGCTGGCCCAGACGAAAGCCACCCCCGCTTCCACACCCCGCACCCGCGCTGGACACGTACCCTCTGGCCACAGGCCCAGCGGAAGAGAGCACCACACAGCAAACGACCCCTCTTACGCCAAATCCTACAGAGCCGCCAGACAGGCTGTGGGCAGCTGGTTCCAGAGCAAAGAGCCTGCACTGGACAGGCCCTGCTGGTCACAGCCT